TATTCATGCGCGGCCTTGAGCCTGAATTTAATATGAATTAATTAGAAATTTGTTATCTCCGGGAGGTAGTTTCACTTTCGAACTCGGAACGTGATTGCAGCCGCCGCCTGCGGAAAACGTGCATCACCGAGATGGAATCTACCAACGGGTTGGCGCTTGAATTTCATTTCTCAATGTGTTGTGCCACAAGGCCTCTGATGTAATGACATGCTATCGGCGCGTCGGGAAGAAAGAACCGACAAAAAACATTTCCCGAGTTATCCAACGGAGTCGCAAAAAAGAAATAGATCGAAGACAGTAATATCGGTGCATTTCAGCATGAACGCGATACATATTTGGTTGCATCACTTGCGAGGTTTCGAAGAACTCTCGATAGTACGTATGTACGATTGGGATTCACGTGCAACAGTTGTCATTAACATCTCGGATATGAGAAGCGTAATCCGCGTGTGTGCGTTCATTGCGAAACGCGGTCGCTTTTCTCGGTACATCGCATGACCGACGATGAAGCAATCGACCGCAATTGAACGAAAAAGATACTCGATCGTTGTGACAATTACTATGATTCTGAAAGGATACTTCCTGTGCCGAGTTACAGCGCACGCAATTGCAATGATTTTTTTTTTGTGTCGTGTATTGTCGGACGTCAGTTGCGAAAATTGCGGCAATGAATAATAATGTTCGTATCTATATCTTATACTTATATGTCATCTACATTTAAATTGATTATTAAACTTATTAGAAACGTTGTGCCTCTTTTACTTACGATTTCGATTAAATTAACGCTTATATGTAGAGCTCAGGTCTTTTACGCTTCGAATGAATTTAAATTTGATGAAGAGTATAAGTGCAACCGTTTCCTCTCGGCGGCGTCTCTCCACATTGAATATTTTTTCCGCATTTCGATTGCCATCATCGTCTACGTCCGAGAGGCGTCTTCATTCGCTAATTGAATCAATGTTGCCGTAGATGCGAGAGCGGCTACACGCGCGGCGGGTATCCTCTTATTTCCCGCTCTACCCCGCGGCCTCGCTCCGCGGCCGTTCTCCACGTTTGGAAGGCGGATATCGCGGTTGTCGCTTATGCCCGCGGACGTTAAGATTAAGGCGGCGATCTTGCGGAGTGCCGGGAGGCCGTCTTTTACGGCGGCGGCTTGCTGTGAAACCGTACGCCGATTCTCGATGGCTTTGCGCCATCACTCTACAACCCCGTGGCGAACCTTAAGCGACCGCCGGACTCCGTAAGAGTCCTGGCGAGCTATCCGCCTCCTCTGCAGACTCGGCTCTGTACACTTCGGGATCTGACACTCGATGATTGAACCTCTATGTGAAAATTGCATTAATAACGACACGTTCCCTTGAAAGAGGACAAGTCATGAAAATCTTGCGTTTAGTCGTTGACCGTCAATAGATTCAGTCGGGTAAGAATATGCCAGGAAAAAGTGGACTGAAGAAACGAGGCCATTTTTACAATGAGTAAATCAAAACGGTCATTTCATTCGCTTCACAGTAGATGCGGCCCTGCCTCTATGGGATTGAACGCTTAAAAACCCGCGGACACCTAATGGTATCCTTATGCACTTACAACAATATGGTTAATTGAACAGAATATTCCCGGTGCTTGGCTTCGCAGCAGGCCCATTATTCGAATTACGACATGGCCGTCTCTCGGCGTGATCGCGTCGAGTTCCGCATATTTTTCTGGACCTTATGTTGGGCACGATAACATTATAATTTAGTACACTCGAAAGATCTCACATTACTGCTCGTATTGAAAAAGTTACATTTGTATTCTAGGGTTAATAAATTCAGTACTTCCTATTTTTAGTCGAAAATTAGCTTGAAAGCAAGGTACGTGGAATTTCTAAAATTCTTATTCCTAAAAGTTTATCTCTTAGTTGTTAGTCTCTTATAATTTAGTCATGAGTAAGCATACATTTGACTAAGACTCCAACATTTAGAGACTCGCTTTAATCTACTTATTAATTAAAATGAATCTATCAAATTTCAAACAAATTTCAAGAAAAACAAGGATTGCTTGAGCTTATTGTACAAATTCGTCTTACGTTTTAATTTAAAAAAATCGTGAGAAAATTGTAGCGCATTTTTGGCATTATTTCAACGCCAAAAAAAAAATACATTATATACGACGTATGCTATGAAAGCAAGTAAATCAGTTTTACGCGCGGATTCATTCTATGTTCACGTTGAGATACATCTGAACCGTTCATGTTCGTGTCAACCATTTCATTTTTTTTCCTTTATTTTCGCAGTCGCGACCAAAGAAGCGTCTGATCCCTTCAGCGAGTGCGACACAATGAAATTGGATTAAAGTCATGCCCTTGCTAGTTCTCGCCAGCTCGTTCTCTCTCCCCGCAGCGACGCGACTCGAGAGAGGAGTTTTAACGATCTACCGCCGTACAAATTGTCAAGATGCTATCATCTCTCAGCGGGGAGAGAGAACGGGGGTAAGAGAGGCAGATAGGATGATACGACGTGAGAGAGATGAAGAGAAAGAGAGAGAGAGGCACGGAGGGAGAGGGCAGCGAAGGGGGCGAAAAGAGAAGATGCGAGGGAAGATTAGGGCGGCATCTCCCCACGGCGAGGTCGGTAACAGAAACTGCTGTTGGTGATGCTCTTGATGCCGCGCCGCAGTCGCTGTTGCCGCCGCGTTTCGCCGCACCACCACGCTCTCCTCTCTCGGCTGCCCTTCGTATCTGACGCGATTCGTACGTTGAGGATTCTCAACAGTAAATTACAAAATATGCTAAGCGGCCGATATAAATCAAAAGTGGGGCCCGCGCGCGTCCGTGGGTTCCCCGAGGGGTGAAAGAGAGAGTCCTTTACCCGTCGCCTCCGTCTCCCGGATTCCACGGCGCAAGGGGTATAAGGGTCCTCCGCATCCTCCGTGAGTCGACCGAACCCAAAATATAAGGAGAGACCCCCATCACGAATCGGGAACGAGGGAGAATCTCCTTCTCTTTCTCTCTTTCTCACCTTCTCGTGCAGGGCGTAGAACGCCGATGCGATGCAGTTTGCAAACCGAGCAAATGGACCGGAAGACTCGAACGCGAGATATAAATAGGCTCGACTGGAGAGCAATATATCTACCCAACTAAACTCCACTAAATTGCTTCGAAGTAATGTAGAAGAGAGCGATGTAGAATCGGGAACGTTCGTGGTTCTGTATGAGCAAAGAGAAAGAGAGACAGAAAGAGAAAAAGAGAGAGGAGGGAGGGGGAAAGAAAGGCCCCATTTATCGACGGCACGCTGCGTACTCATTTAAGCGCGAGAGAGATTTATGGAATATCGATAAACTCCTGAAGAAAGAATTGTGATTGCTACTTCCTCAAGCCGTAAATGTAATCTACGTAAATGGGCCTTGCGTGGAAAGTTCGGGTCATTTTATGCCTATTTCTTGCGGTATCAACAATTTTACAATTTACCTCAACATCACACGATAGAAAAGATATATCCAATATACACGCTATTCGATTAACGAGAATTTCATTCATCACTCAATCATTCATACCCCACATTTAAAGAGAAAACAATTTAAACGTATCATCAGTGTCGAACTGATGCATAGCCCTTCTCTGCATTTATCTCGCAATTAAGATAACAGATATATACCTGTGCTCGGTAGAATGCGAATCATCTAATTAACGCATCAAATGTCCCTCGGTGCTCGGTCGATTTTACACGCGATTGTTCCGCGTAATCGGTCGCGGTAACGAATTATGCTCACCGCGAGCGCTCAATTACGCGGTCGAGGCTATTAATCGAGATACGGCGAAACACGAATAGCTAATAACGCGTTAAGAGTGTTCACTGTAACATCGGGACGCGGGACTATCTGCGGATCTACGCTAATCGAGTCCTCCCGATGCACCCGGTACGTAGAGCCGTCACGCACACGCACGTGTTTATGGATGAGCCACGTACGAGTCGCGACCACGTGCACGCGCGCGACCGGCGCGCTTCTAAATTAAGTGCATCGAGTGAAGAAGAGCCGCGCAAGTGCATAAAATTACGTGCGTTACATGCAAGAGCGGCGCGAAAGGTGCTTTCGCAGATTGCTGTACCAAGGCTACGCACTTTCAAAAACATCGAGAAAAATAATTATCCTCTCAGTTCCTCTTTTATATAAATTATTATAACATGGAAAAGAGAGAGAGAAGGAAGGAGAGAGTAATAATCGTATAAGAAAGTTACATAAATACACAGGTGAAACGTAAGAGGTAATTTAATTTAAAAAAATTGATAAATATGTGGTTATTATAGAATAATTTTAAAGCCTTCGATCTTATCCAGAGGGTTCACTTGTCGTGTTACTTTATACCTACTATATAGCTTCAGATTTCTGCGCGATGATGAACCAAAAATTGGTTTCAATTTTAAAGCTATTTTTCAAGAAATTGTTTATGTCCCAGCAAAAGTTCCAGTTAATCTTGACGGAGAGTCTCGGGAACGTGAATATTCTTGAATTATTTAAATGCGCGAGAGGCGTGCAGAATCTTCCTGCATTCGCATGAGCGTGATTATATTCCGTGGATCAAGCCGTGGAAAATCGCGTTTCTTTCCCTCGCCTCGCGTATGATTACAAAGCTTATACGCGCGGATGAGAATCTGAAATAGCGAGATAGCGAGGTACCCGCGAAACTTTAAAGCAGCGAGTAAAGGTTGTATAAAGCGTGCATAATAGCGGCCGGTGTCTCTAGCTGATTTTATCGGAGATAAAATTCACATTTTGAAATTTTACTTCAACATTATAACATTTGATATTATAATAAATAAAAAGGTTTTTCGTTACGAGAAATTAACAAAAATTTAAAGATACCAATGCATACATTGAATACCATAGACAACGTGAAACAAAGATGTACAATTTTAGCAGCTGAATTTCGGTCGCTGAAAATCCTTAAAAATCCTACATCGTCTCTTTCGGGTTATAATTTTGTCATATCGCAAATTTAACAATGTAACAAAATCAATACTTACGTGGACCAGAGTTCATGGGTGGGCGGCAGTTTGACATCCGCTGTCTTCTCGGGTAGTTTGTAGTACTCGTAGACATAGGACGCAGCGGGATCATCGCTGTGATTAACTACCGCCGACTGATGCTGCTGTTGAAGGTTTAGCATGGCCGCGGTCGCTACTGAGAGCGGATGCTGCTCGCAGTAGGCGCGCCAGTCACCCTCCATACCCTGAACCTGCACCTGCACCGCGGCGACCCTTTTGTGAACTTCCGGATCGGCGCCCTCGGCGCTCTGCAAGGTCTGCGCCGCTGCCTGGGCCGCCGCCTCCTCCGCTCCCAATTCCTCCTCCTCTTCCGGCTCACGCTGCCCGGACACGTAGCTCTGTTGCTGCTGCTGTTGCTGTTGCTGCGCTTCGTCGCTGACGACGGTACCGTTGGTGTCCTCCTCGCTGCGACTGCGTCGCCTGTAATCAAGCGAAGAGCGATTCGTTTTAATTACTACGAAACTATAAGTACTCGGCTTCAGATAGTCAAACATAATTGCATGAATATTTGATTGCCACGAAAAAATGCGTATTATGACTCACAAGTCTGTCGATATTACCGCGTTTGAGTGCGGATATAAAATGTAATTAGCGCGAGTCTGTAAAAGCAATAGTTAACCATCTATTCAATAAAAATATAAGAATCGTGCTTCTCATGTCGCTTAGCGACGTGTTCTGTAGATTCATCAGGAAAAGGAAGCGTCAGTATCTATGACCGACAATGTTCATTCGAGCAGCCAATTCTCTCTTCTGCTGTTGACGACGACCACAGGCGACACGGCAGCGATGCATGTCGCATAAAAAAAAATTACAAATAAAAAAAGATTTCCCCCCCGAAGGCTGCGGTAATGAATGTGCCGCGGGATAACAGTTAGAAATAACCGGGCCCGGTAGAATGTAATAAATTACAACGGACCCATCGAATTTATCAATTAGCGATAATCGCGGCGCATAAGCCGCACTGATGATTCCTCAATTTAGCAATGACCACCAACGGTGGAAGTGCATCGCGCATCGGCGGATGGTTGCGCCGGTAATTTATCGCCGTCGTGTACCTCGCGATACCTAATCGCATCGTGCGCGAGGGGGAAAGAGAGAGAGAGAGAGAGAGAGAAAGATACGCGCTTTCGACTTCGTGCTTAGCCACCGATATTTGTCACCGGTCGTTACTTTCCGCCGAAGTAACAGCCTTCCGGCTGTATAGCGGGGACGCGGATCGACGACGATTCATGAGAGTGCGCGTATGGGACACACTTGAGCGTACATTTCAGTGAAAAAAGTTTAAGCGTCATATTGCAAATTAGGCTGATTTCTACTTAGCTACTTTTCACGGGATATTTATGTAGTTAAACCGGAGATAAGAATTCTCTTAAATTCTCGATCTCTACTTTATGCACCAACAGGACGCGTACGGATGTATCTTTTTTGAAACCCGCAAGCCAACAGAATTTTATTCATTGCACGGTTTTTATTTCGAAATCTACATTTTGACGCTTGCCTTTTTTGCAGTACGCGCATCACCTGTCTCCGCGCGACAGGGATAAACTTAATCGCGGAGAAAGAAATCTCGCGCATTGCCACCGGGTCGGAGCAGATGACGAGGAGACGGGCGACGAAGTACGAGGGGGAGGGGAGGGTTTACATCGTAAATACGTATACACGCACGAAGATTAATTATTATAAACCCCTGCCTGTTGCCTGCAGTCATCAATTTATACTCCTCTCTCGTGCATCCCAATTCCAATCCCGATCCCGATCCCGTGAGTCGCGCTGCGGAATAAAGGCTCATCCTCTCTAATTTATGCATGTCGAATCAATCTCCCTCCTTCCATCCTTCCTTTCTCCATCTTTCTCCCTCTCCCTCTATCTCGTCCTCGTTTTACCTACGTGTTCCTTCTACGTTCCTCCTCGCGCACCTGGACAACCGTCCCTGAGAGAGAAGGACCAGCCACCCCGATAATGAGGACCCGAGTTATCCTGTGCAAATATTTTCCTCGACGGCTGTTTGCACAGGCACGAACGGACCGGAGATCCGATCATTGAATGCACCGCCGACGTACGTGCTATATATGAGTTTTTGCGCGGAGAAATCTCGAGCGCACGAATGTGGTAGTCGATTCCGATAGCCGCGATTCTGCATCTAGCATACCTGCACCGTCTAGACAATGAAATTATGCGCGATCATCCGGGCGAAAACTTCATTCCTGGCGAAATGCAAACATAGATTTCACGGCGATGAAATACCGCGCCGCGTGAGCACATTGCTATTCTTCTTGCCTGCAGTGCAATCTTCATCTTGTTCGCTATCATCCTGCGTATGGTTTCACTTGAATTTTCTCTCCGCTGTATTAATAGTATTCATTGATCACGTGCGGCGCGAAACTATTTTTCTCGAGAAACTATTTCTCATCGCCAACTTGACCAAATTTTTATAATTCGACGTCAGCAATAAATTCTTACAATCTTATAGGAGAATTAATTATAATCACATATCCTCGAGTTGTAGATTTCAATAAATTTTGGTCTCCTGCGCAGAGATTGAAATCATTATAATTTCACTGAGTTTAATTTTTAATATATTACGAACCAAACAAAAAAAAATCTTACGCCAATTATCACAAATGGGTGCAGAGATCATTAGTATCGTTCAATTCGAACTGTTGCCGGAGCTGTAACGACATCGATTTCTTACCATAATTTTGTACCTCGTAGTAATGTCACGTATGCGCGCGTACTTATCCGCGTTTATTTATTCCTGAAATTTGAAATAAATCTTTCTTTCTATCATACCCTTGCTTGAGGGATTTCTCTCCTGCCTGATAAATGAGACTTTAATAATAACTTAAAATACACGACATAATTGATTATCGACGTGTATACATAATGCCGCGAATAATCGGACAAAATACTCGACATAATATCGCTCCCTTATTAAGGTATTTCGAGGGAATCCAACATGATAATGCCCCGTAGACCCTATAATTTCATCTTGCGGGACTCGCAAGAACTTTCATTCCCCCCTTACATTCCTCGTTGCTCTCGAAAAAAAGTGAAGTTACACGCATGACATTAAAAGCGAATCGAGAGGAGCTTGCGTATCGACGGTCGAATTTCGTAATAATGCGAGCACGTATCGCGTACCGCATTGCGTGCCGCTCGTACGTGACCGGTGTACTTCTTAGGCTTAGGGTAACACGAGGAAAAGGTTAAAAAAAAGGAAAGAAGAATCATAATGGCGGAAAAGAGGGAGACGGGGGAAAGAAGAAGAAAAAAAAAGAGCGAGGGATAGACAGAACGTACGTCTCGTACGGGGATACACGCTCTAAGAACTGCTCCGCATATATACGCTAGGCTGGTGGATACATATGTAAATTGCGAGTACCCCTATTACAGGAGACTTCACCTGCGCATCCGGTTTTCGCGTGTGCTTTGATTTCGTCCCCGTACGTCACGTCTCCTCCCCTTCCGTCCACCTCTCAGCTCGTGTACGCGCGCTCGTTCGTGCGGCGCATACTACTTTTCTATAACGTTAAATCATAGCCGATTTCATTAAAACCGCCGGGATGAGTAATTGCCGGTGTATCGGGCGCGGTTAGCGCGGTGGAGAACACGTCCGTGTTTAGACGACGATATATCTTGGAAATTAAGGTTTGTGTCCCGATGGATATCGCGCCGTCGCATCTTAAGCATTGCGTAATTTCGACGACGCCGATGATTTCAAGAATAATCTTGAACGTCGTTTTATCTTCGACAACGTAATGAACTCGTGTAATTATGTCGCAGCTGTTGTGAAAGACTATAATTTGTTGCGGCCTATCAAATATCAACTGTCCAAAATGTCTGAAAATAAAGCAAACTTCTTAAATTAATTTGATTTAAATTAATTAATCGAAAAATGGAATGTTTTTGCAATAAAGTGATAAAAAAAAAACTAATCTCCGATTCGTTGGAGTTACTTAAAATATGTGATAGCTCTAAGGCATTCTGCATATTCAGAGATCGACGATAATTTATATTCCGCGAATAGATGGGGGGCACAAGGGGACGACGCGAGGAATCTCTTTTACAACGGTTCGTTTGCATTACACAGATAAAATTTTATTGCGGCAATGAGGCGTACGAGTGAAAGACACAGGTATTATCTTCGAGGAAATCACATCGATTTCTTCCTATCGGTTGATATAACGGACAGAAAAGGCCAGCCGATGTTTTTCGAGTACAATCCTGGGAATGTATGCCCGTTCACATGTCTTACTACTATTATACCGGCTATCTATCATAATTTTTGACACTCCGAGGTCACTAACACTGATGACTGATAATACTTATACATCCAAAGATTTTAATGTTCCAGACACAAGCATATATATTATGCGAATAACATCCATTGAGCTCTCGCATTGATCTCCTGTCGGAATCTCAAAATCAGGGATTGACATTTCTCTCAACGGGACTGAATTTTATTAGTATTCCTCTTTTAAATAGCCGCGGTGTTATTTAATGTAAACTTTTTTTTCGATATTCCAAGCGACACATATTATCAAATGACCAAAGCTGTAGTAATAAAAACATATTTATTACATAAATTGAATAAATTTGAAATATTTCGTAAAAATAAAATTACTTTATCTCCTGCAGGTTATATTTATGTGATTATATTTTATAATCTTGTGCTGTTTAGAAAAGAAAAAAAAGTTGTCAAAGAAACAATATTAACATATCTCTACGTAAACATGTATTCTCCGGATCGCAATGATACCGCGCGGTGCTCGCGTACCTGTTGCACGTGTATCTTCTAAGAAAAAAAAATTAATCCGTTATTCGCTACAAGCGTCAGGATTTCCAATTGAATAGCCGCGTCTCGGCCGATCGATCCGCTCCGTTATTAGGATCATCCGTCTTGAATGGCGGCAATCGTGTTCGCTCGGAGATAGTTCGCTCGTAAACATACGAACGTACGTACCGATTCTTTTTATGCATACGTCCCTCGGACATGCGTCTCGCGATCGTCAGACGCGGCATATGTTACGGTGCGTGCACCGCCGGGACGATCCCGTCGGCACGATTCGCACGCGGTCGTCATGCACCTACCTCAATACGCGAGTGGTTGCAGGTAGGTGGAATGCACGAGACTTGGGCCCGAGATAAAGGCGACTTGGTGGCGAACGAGCGAAAGGAGAGGGAGGGCAATGCGCTTAATATTCCGCAGGAGTGTTGTCCACGCGACCCGAGAACCCACCCCGTGTGCTCCCTCGTGGTGCATTTCAATAAAGCCGCCTCCGCTCGTCCGCACGTCCGCGACCGAATGACACAAAGTCCAGTTGTGCCTGCGTCGTACTTTATCATTGCGCGTCCGTCAAAAGCGCGACCGTGTTCGCAATCAGCCGTGAAAAGTCGTGAAATTTTTCGCCGCAATCTAGATGCAAGAAAAACGATGTCGAGATCAACAAAAATATATTTATAAAATTATATTTTCATCTTTAACTTCCATATTTGCGTTTCTACTTGAATTAAGAGGCCTCGTATGTGACAGAGCCGAGCACTGTTAACGGCTTCAAATGCTCCTTACGATTATGTCTTAAAATATCACGCGCGCAGCGAGATTCACGCGACCATGGAAAATTCCTTGGGCGCGGCAGAATCTCTGTAAAAATATTAGGACTCCCGGCGCATCTAATTTGATAAGCATCGAAGTTATAATATCACCTTCGTCCGATCACACGTCCCCGTCGTTTACTACGACCGGTGGCCGCGCGGTATGCATACTAAGTTCACGATGAGATTTATGTCTCTCTAGTCATGAAAATAACTTATATAAATCTGACGGTTAATCGATTTCTCGGAAAATTTTTGAGAATCGAAGGTAAACCGGTGCTCCACAATGGCGCGCGGTTTGCACTTTATGGCGCACGGTTATTCCGTGGATTAAAGTAACGAATGGCGATCTCAATTGCGACATTTTAAGCTACGCAGAGAAGTAAAAGGGCAGAACACTTTGCTGCGTGCGATATTTCAGCGCTAAGTGCTCCACGTAACCTTTTTTAGACGCAGCAGCCAGATAGATTCAATTGCGTTAGTTAGAAATGCAAATATCCAAGAACAATGTTCTTAGATATTTGCATAGGTATGGCAATGCATGTGTATTCTTATCTTTCCTGCATAAAATGTCTTTTAACTCCGATAGGAGAGACAATCAAAGTGAAGGAGATACTGAATAATTTTTATCCGCTGGATTCGTTCTCGGTTCATTAAATGATTAGCGCAACGTTTATATATCAAGCAAATATTATCTTCTTAAAGAGAGATTTAGCATCATTAATGTCTATTTCTACCAATGTAGATTGACTTTAATCTCAGTTTAACTTGCTCTTTATCTTTTTCTAATTCCAAGTATGAGAAAAAGATGAACAATAAGTTAAACAGAGATTACAGTTAATCTATATAGAGATCTGTATAATACAAATGAACATAAAAGAGACAAAATCCTCAATTATAAAATTAAGTTCATCTATAGAGGATGTCGATTAAGCGGTTTTTGTTAATTAATTACATTAACTGATATCTTCTTTAAGAAAATAAATTAAATTCCGTTATATCTCTTCCAATGATTTTCAAGGTATATATTTTTCGCAACAAGAAAATAAAAAAAATTGCGAAAGATTAGAACGTGCTTGCTCGAAAAACAAGACCCGCGTTTACACGGCTAAGTAATAAGCAACAATCCTTTTATGGAGTCATATATTACGGGCAAGAAGATAATCTCATGTTCTAGCAGCACTTTCGAACATTCCACGTTGTCCTTTTGTCGTGTATTGCTCTGCAATCATTATTCCTTCACTCTAGCGAGTCTGCGCGAATAATCGGTCATTTCCGGCGATAGCCGCGGCGACACTATCCAATGGTATGAAAATAAAAAGAGCAAAATATCTCTACGACGACTTTTAATGTACGGGTGCGGTTATATAATACATGCGCGACACGCGAAGTCAAATCTCTTGTCTGTTTGGATGCAGAGTATGGGCCTTCGCATTTTTTTAAAACATTTACATCGATATTAATATGCAGTAATTTTGATTAATTAAATATTTTCCATCTGTATTTTATGTAGTTATATGAGGAATGTCGAAAAATGCATTTCATTTCTAATCCTTTTTTATTTTACAAGAATAGAGTTAGAATTCGCAATTCTATCCTACATAAACCTATGATAATTTTTGATTTAGTACCGAAAGATAAACAACATCTACTTAGATATTTCTTGTATAATTTAATATTCTGAAGATTTATCATAATTAATTAAAGGAAAGATATTTGATTAACTAAGGCTAAAGCTAAAGCCAAGTAATACATAAGACTATAATCTAGAAAGAGAATGATGGCTTAATTCAGGATTGACGAAATCAGAGTGGCGATGCAACACATCATGCGAATATAACATGAGCAACGGTTGACAGTAACCTCTAAGATGGATAATATATTCTTCGAGGACATTCGACACGCTTGTAAAAATTCGATCGTACGGCCCGGCCGCAACCCTGGATCGGAACTGACAGAAGCGAGAGAGAGGAAGGGGACGACGCGACATTTCCCGGGCTGACTTTGATGGATCGAAGATCCCCCCCGATTCGTTCTTTTTTTCGTCGCGAATCACCGGCTCGGTGTTTGTTTTTTGTTTTTCCGCGGATAAAACGCCGCGCGTCCGACAGGTTATTCTCTCACGGTGGATGACATCGCGCATGCACGCGATACGCTCGGATGCAAAATTGCCGCGAGATCGAGCGGCAGGTATGCAGCTGCAGTCGCCCCGAAATAGGGTGCCCCTTAACGCCATACGCAGTTAAGATAACTGCGATGATTGAATACCGAATATTAAGAAGGCAGCTTAAGCAGCAGCCCTTCTTACGTAAAAAAGTGTCGGTGATACTATAAAAAAGAACGTAAGTCAATATAATACTAAGTTTCTGCATCACTTCGCTCGAGAGAACGCCAAATATCGACGCTTATTCGATATTCTTGCATACCTAAATCGCGAAAAAAATATCACGCAAATATAGCGAACCAAGTATTTGAATTTTTTATCGCCAGTGTTTCGCCGTTATTACTAATTTACCTCATAATGAATAAATAATCCATGCAGTGAGATATCTTCTTCTCGCTATTTTAATTAAAAAGCAAAAACATCGAAGAGGATTTATTCGACGAATAAGAAAAAGATTAAGATTTGTCGATGATACGGCGACTATACTTTGCATAATCGATTAGTCGCTCCACATCTTTTTAGGCGGCTCCCGTTACGGACTTCAGGAATTTTTGCTCAGTCGTTCGCTCGAGCTATCAGAGCTGGATAATGCGCAGAGGCGCATAATGCCGGGCCGTTATCTGTCCTTTCAATGTACCCCGTATCTCCTCTGGCTCTGGTTTCAAAACCCCCTCGGGAGGGCCGCGTCGTCTGGAATATCCCAAAGAGGGTTACGAGCGAATGAACGAGCGTGCCTATCCACCGTGACCGTTGGCGATAGGATAAGCGGCGCCCTGGACTTCCTACATCGCTTTAAAATTACCCGGCTACAGGACGAGAACAATTAGCATTGCCTACGTACGCGCGCGCCCGCGGAAGAAACGATGAGATAGCCCGTTATCGCTGCCTACGTCGCGAATCGCGGCGCTCGTCGATATACGCATACGCACTGCGGCATAATCGGTCCTTGACTCGGCAAAACTGAGAAAATAAATTTAAATTATAGTATAACAGAAAATACAGAGGTACGCCGTGAAGACTGTAGTAATTAAAAAAAAAAATTAATCTACTTGTGCAAGTCCGACGATTACAAAGCGATAAAGATATTAAATTATAACTTGAAAAAATTTTATTCAAATTTAATTTTAAATTGGTAAATTATACACATTAATACGTTAATTATTAAATCAATTAATCGTCACTTTTACAACAGCGCGCTTTAGTTATGCTTCCAATTTGCGCGAATGCAATGACTGGCGTTCCATATTGGCGTTATTGCCATCGGGATGGCTCTGACCTTTCGCCGGCGTGGTGGCGTGGCGAAAAAAATTCAAAGGTCGCAAGACAGATTCGCCTTCAATCGGATGAATGACGACTGACTTGTCTCAAAGTTAATTTAAATATCTATTTATAGACGTGAAGCGCTATGGAATAAGCGAGAGAAAAATATCAGGAACATAGCGAATGAGAAGAATCTGTAATCTTCAGTTTTTAATTTCTCCACAATAAATCCACGGTTGTAAAGTATAATATATCCGCGTATGATGAGCGAAAGAGAGGCGCGTCGTTAAAAATAGCAATAGATGCAGACATCAGAACATTAATTAATTGCAATTTTAATTGAAACGTACGCACGTGCATACGTGTATTGAGATGATATATGTTGAATTCCTTTTTGAAAAAGCGAAAAAATCTGTCAATCATTTCTCTCTCGCTATCGGATAAGAAATACTGCCTAAAGACAAGTTTTTCGCGTATAGTAGCTGTAAACGGAGATATCAGATTAATTCAGTTGAAGATTACGCAGCAGAATTAATAGAATATATGTGATCGCCGTGACAATCGCATTTTGATCTCTGTATTCTTCCAGAGAATAAAACTGTCGTGCAACAAAATAAGCTATTGTCCGCGAGCAATTCCGACATCTCGTCGCAACCGAATCTCGTCACGCGTCTTCCGTCCTTGCATGCGAAGTGGATCTCCTTCTCGTATTTCTCTTTGTCGAAGGAGAGAAAGAGAGAAAGTGACGAAGAAGATACAAGACGATGCGACGACGCGTGACCCTTGCGAGGGCTCCCGCGGAGATGACTTTTCGCGCGTGCAAAAGTGTGCCCGCCACTTGGGAATAATGCCGGCAAGTCTTTCTCGCTGGATGGGACGCCCCGTCGCGCAGAACCGAAAACAGCGAGGCACTGGACCGAGAAAGAGGCGGGGAAGGTCTCGCAGAGATCGCGAGGAGAAAGAAGGACGGAAGAGAGGGTGAGCGCGGAAAGGGGAAGAGAGGAGTGAGACGCGGAAGAGAGAGAGAGAGAGAGAGAGAGAGAGAGAAGGGACGCCAAAGAGGAGAGCGTATCCGATATGAAATATTCCCCGCGACGCGGAGTAAAAGCGCGCGCGCCGCGGCTAGAGTAACTCTATATTATTATCCTCTTTCACACCTCCCTGCACTTCTATGCGCCGCGAAAAACCATGGTACAATCAACAAGAGGCCGCCCATTGTCTCTCATTGTCGTGCCTCGTGCAGACACGTAGCAGCATCGCCGTGGCACGGCAGAGAGGAGAGTCGCTCGTGTTGTGAAAAGTTATTATTCCCGAGACCGAGAGAGCGTGCATTAATTGGGCACGACGTAGACCCTAATTAGCACATCGAGTCTCCTGCGAGCTCGTGAACCTGGGAAACGGACGATCGAAGTAGTCTCCGAGACAGCCGAGAAACTACCGCCGTAATATTATTTTTATCGGTTATGTTATAGCTTATAAATAGCACGAGTGATTTACTGATATTGATAAATTATGCTAAGTTGCAGTAATATTTGTCGGTGCACACGCAAGCTCGCTGCGCGTTTATAATCACCGGTATAATTATGCGTCTCCATGTGTACAATGACGAACGCCGCCGGACTTGGCAACGCGTTGAAATAAATAAATATAAACAAATCGTTATACGCGCGCGTAAATGATCATTATAATTACTACTGCAAGTCTGACGTTTTAATTATTACAGCAAGTCAGCAGACGTTTTAATTACGCTAATAAAATCGGTTTGCAAGCAGAAAGGGATTTCTACCGACATCTTCTACTTCACAAATAAGGCAATTATTTTCTTACCTTCGGATCAGAAAAGTCGCAAACTTGAACGTATAGCGTTAGACTGAAAGCTAATTCTAAATTGAGGAGAGTGCTTTCGATCTTACAAGCCATGATCGCGCCCCTTCGCCACGGTCGGCGCAAAAATAGCGAGAAAACTGTCTGTCTGTCGTAAGTGCGGTCGTTGAATCACGATTCGTTCGGCCATTGTGCGTACCTTTACGGCGATCCATCAGCTTCGGCCCGCGTATCTCTTGTGCTTCGTATTAAATAATTCAATGAACTGACTCGCGCGTATCCTGCGGGCTCGGCAGGCAGGAAAGAAGCACTGCGCCCAGTGGTAGCGATCGATGGAAAGACGGGCGAGAGAACAAAAAAAAAAGAAGAAAAACCCGGGGGATAGGCACGGAGAAGCAATGCTCGAGGTGATTCGATACGTGAGACCGTTCGTTTAAGATCGCTCGAAGTGCATTGCGTCGCGTGTTTTTTTTTTCCCCCATCTTTCTGCGCGCGCGTATTGTCGGCGCCGTAATGCCGATACCCGATGCAAGAAGCGCGCATCTCCTGTTTCAGGAAGTCCGCCACGCAAAAAAAAATCGCCCCTTCGTGATAATGCGGACCGATATGGTTCTCCCGGCCGGAATTGCATTAAGATAAACGCGAGCGGCTCGCGATATTTTCGCGAAAGAAAGTCTTCGACGAGAGAGGATCGGATATCTGAAGAAACTTTAATTTCCGTATTCCGTAAGAGTTATTAAGTTTCAGATTCTTTGATTTTAATTTCCCAATTTTTAATTTTAATTCCACATGTCTCGTCTCGTCTTGACACATATTTCTCTCTATCTCTTTTTCTCTCTATAATTTTTACAAAAGTTAAATTATGAGAAAAAAAGAGTCTCAAGTCTAAGTTGAATCTAAATGGTCGAAAAGTACGCAAAATATGAAAGGAAGCGCGGGAATCTGAGATATTCTGCATATGTATATATGTACGTCGCCAGGTGGTTTTAAAGATCCGACGACTCAATTTGAATGCAATTTGGAGCGCATTTGCATACGTCAGGATGAAAGCTGAAGTTACTTAACAGACGTCTCGACCATTAAAACACGTTCCCTCCCGAGACAGGATGTTGAAGATATAAATTTCTTTTAATTGTGTTTATACGTACGAATCTATGATGCGTATATGGTAATTTTCGCAGGCGTACATTCATCAAAGAATCGCTATATGAGCTTTTCTTAATATGTTTTTCCTTGTGGACGTGGCATGTATAGCTATCGCAGATTGTCGCAGCAGGCAATCGCGTTCTGCAGTTTTTATTTTCTTTCAAGCAACGCTTACGCAATTCAGACCGTGTTTCAATTTCCAAGTCTAACAGCCTCGGCCACTTGCATCGGGGAGGATTATCTTTACATCATTCTCGTCGAGATGACAAATGCCTAGAGACTTGCGAGCGCGGTATATCGAAATTAGAGATCTCGTACGTGTCCGACTATTGACGAAGGTCTTTAATCTTACCTCGCGCAGATGGGCCCTAACGATCACGGATTGCCTTATCAACGCGATCGTCTCTCCCGCGGGAAAACCTTGTCTTTTGTATTGTCACGCGCATAATATAACCGCCAATGCCAGGCATACAAATCGGTCTAATCAGAATAAATATCGGCGACAGATGAAAAGTTTACATTTCGCATTAGAGATTGTGAGGAATACCCACGCGTTTTTTTTTCTTTTTTTTTCGCAATTCGAGAAAAGTAAAAATCATACGCTCTTTCGTGGCGCAGCAAAAAACAAACGGATGGCCGTCAGTAATATTTTAGGATACGCAGAATACACTATAGTCTATCTATCGCTTTTAGACGTTAATTTTTAACGATGACGACAGACGCCAAACATAAAACTCTTTCACAATATTCTTTAGAATCTGATTATTCGGCGAGAAAAAGAACTATACGACGTCGAAACTACGGCTGTTTTGAAATTCGCTTGCTGATGCATAATCCGAAAAAAGATTATTTCTCGAGTCTTTTTAATATTCAGACGCGCGTTATATTTTAAACGACGTACAAGTCTGCTCTATCGTTTTTTTTTTTTCAAGATGCATCGCCAGTTTTTACTAAATAATTCAATTCGCACATTCTGTATATTATATTTAAAATTAATAATCTATATCTAGTTTTCCGTTAAATAATTCAATTCACACACTGTAATAATTTTATTTTGCTGTAATTGGAGTATTTACGAAAATATATAGTACATTTTTTAGTCGCGATTTTTCGTACTGATCAGTACTCTCTATCTCTTTTCCGGGGAAGAACACGCGGGTGTCTTTTATGATCAGTCCTGCGACGATCGACCGGAGCATTAGAAACGGTGCGACGGGCGGCAGCCACGTGCGGCAGCCCAGAGAGGATGGGCAAGTGGTAAATGGGAAATTGTAAGCGGGTAGGCCACTAGTGCGCTCCGAACATGAATGAATGGAACCTGCTTCGCCGCTTACATGTCCATTATAGGCACCGCGCCCGCTACGTTCGTATATATGTATGTATGTATGTATGTACACGTAGCGCATGTTTACTCGTCGTAGCGGTGGCTGCTCCGTCTACGATCGGTCGCCATTGCGCGCGCGCACACACACATGTACGCCTACCGATGGTAACATCGGTACATACAATGCCGCGATCCGTTCGCCCGTGTGTTGAAAATACAGATATCAACACGCGATGAGGCGATCTGTTTATCCCGCGTTCGTGTGTATGCGAGAGGCGCGCGTCTAACCTAACTAACATCGCAGCGATCTGTTTATCTCGCGTCTTCGTGTACGTCCGTGTGCCCGAGTGAGAGAAGCGCGTCTCAATTCAGTATACGCTGCTAAGTACGCGTCGCAGATACGTGTACGCGTGTGTCCGTGAATCGGTGAAGCCGGCGTTACCGGAGTAGTTAATGGATTCTCGCCGTAGTGAAACGGTGCGGTGTGCGCGTCGGGATTGAATCGCCAAGGCCGCGATCGGGCGCGATTCCACGATGAACGACCGTGGCCCCCGCACGGCTACGAAACCCGATTCCCGTATCTCGAGACCCGTCGGCCGACGGAAGACGTTCCTGGGAGGTCGGACCTGATTTCCGGACGGAGTTAACCTAGCTGATAAATGGAGCGATCGATCTTCCGAGTCCGGCGTTATCGCTCGATCGAAATTCGATTGTTTTACGTAAGTAGATAGAGAATCTAGGA